TTGGCCTTGAAAACAGAAGGCTCTTTGGAACTGAAGCCCCAAGTACCGGACTCGGACGGTCCTCTGAGGCACTCTGAGAGCTTGTTAATTAGAGGCTTACAGTAGCAGCATCGGGTATGGACGCTATGGGTTTAAACGTATGAGGCCTGATGATCTAAGGTCTAATCTGACCCGAATAAACATAAAATTGTGGGGGAGAGCTGCGCTCGCAACTTCAAGAGAGCTCCCGGTCTACAGGGAGTCTGAAGAGACAGTCCTCTACTAGCGGATGTCTTGTTGGAAGGAAATCCAGCTAGTTTAGGGGTTGGGTTCTGATGCTAGGCAAATTTCATGATTTCTGACGAAGTTAAAACTCTGGGTTCAACAGGTCCCTCAGGATCTGGGTTTTCTACCTAGAAACACCAAGACCCCTACATTAAGGAATATAGCTTAAACCATAATAGGAACCCTGATAAGGTACAAGGTACATTCCTGATTTAAGGGGTTTTGGATTCCGTGGGTATATCGCACAGCTGTCAGAGCCTATGCGTATCTTCGTGAAGAACTCTGAAAAGCCCGCTGTTGAATTCATGAAGATCCTGCAAGATGCCGGTTCTTGTTGGCTGCAACTTGTTTCGACGCCAGCATCCCACACAGCCAATGCACATTGTGCGAGCGGCACTGAGCAACTCAGATGGTAAGCTGCTGCAGGCACTGATCAACCATGGAGCTGAGCTGTGTCAGTCGGACGCCTCGAGACCGCGCGTCTTTCAGAACTGACTTTGCCACCCTGAGCCTGTTCCTGCTTGCGCCTTTAAGCCGAGTACAGATGTCATCCACCGTCCAGGCTGCCGTGAAACGACCAGGAAACAAAGCACTCAAAACGGCTTCTGTGAAGACCTGGTTGGGTCCGACGCCTTTGTGTGTCATGCTAGACAGCACACCTTCAAGCTGGTCCAGCGGAGCATGGCTGTGAGCCCCCACCAAGTTGGCGAAGGTGACAATGCTCGGCTGCAAGTGTTTGCTGAGCATGCCGTCCAACAAATACATGGCTGCCTTGTGGCGGTTGGAGTGGTTTGAGTTTTTACATGCATTGATCGCAGA